AGAATTGACAAATGGGACTTCATAAAATTGCAAAGTTTCTGTAAGGCAAAGGACACTGTCAATAGGACAAAACGACAACCAACAAATTGGGAAAAGATCTTTACCAATCCTTCATCTGATAGAGGGCTAATATCCAATATATACAAAGAACTCAAGAAATTAGACTCCAGACAACCAAATTACCCTATTAAAAAATGGGGTATAGAGCTTAACAAAGAATTTTCAACAGAAGAAACTCGAATGGCCAAGAAGCACCTAAAGAAATGCTCGGCATCCTTAGTCGTCAGGGAAATGCAAATCAAAACAACCCTGAGATTCCATCTCACACCAGTCAGAATGGCTAAGATTAAGAACTCAGGTGATAGTAGATGCTGGCGAGGGTGTGGAGAAAGAGGAACACTCCTCCATTGTTGGTGGGACTGCAAGATGGTGCAACCACTTTGGAAATCAGTCTGGCGGTTCCTCAGAAAATTGGACATAGCATTACCCGAGGATCCAGCTATACCACTCCTAGGCATATACCCAGAAGATGCTCGAACATATAATAAGAACATATGCTCAACTATGTTCATAGCAGCCTTATTTATAATAGCCAGGAGCTGGAAAGAACCCAGATGTCCTTCAACTGAGGAATGGATTCAAAAAATGTGGTATATTTACACAATGGAGTATTACTCAGCTATTAAAAACAATGAATTCGAGAGGTTCCTAGGTAAATGGATGGAACTAGAAATTATCATCCTGAGTGAGGTAAGCCAATCACAAAAGAACACACATGGTATTCACTCACTGATTATTGGATATTAGCCCAGAACCTTGAAATGCCCAAGATGCAACTCACAGGCCACATGAAGCCCATAAAGAAGGAAGACCAAGTGGGGGTGATTCAGTCCTTCTTAGAAGGAGCAACAAAATACTCAAGGGAGCAAATATGGAGACAAAGCGAGGGACAAAAACTGAATGAGGGGCCGTCTGAAGACCTTTCCACCTGAGTATCCATCCCATGTGCAGTCACCAAAGGTAGATGCTGATGTGGAAGTCAGGAAGTGCCTGCTGATAAGAGCCTGATATGGATGTCTCCTCAGAGGTCTTCAAGAGTCTGACATATTCAGAGGCAGATGCTCACAACTAGCCATTGAACTGATCATGGGTTTCTCAATAGAGGAGTTAGAGTGAAGACTGAAGGAGCTGAAAGGATTTGCGGCACCATGAGGAGAACAATAATACCAACCAACCACAGCTCCCAGGGTCTAAACCACCAGCCTGGGAGCACTTAGGGGGGGGATCCAGGGCTTCAACTGAATATGTAAGAGTGGAGGGCCCTGCTGGGCATAGGTGGAAGAAGAGAACCTTGACCTCATGAAGGCTGGATGCCCCAGGGGGTGGGAATTTTGAGGGTGGGGAGGTGGGAGTTGGGGGGGAGTAGATAGAGGTTACATCCACAGAGAAGAAGGAGGAGGGGTGAGGGGATTGGGGGTTCCGGGGTGTGTGGGGGATGGGGTAAGGGGACAACATAGGAAATGTAAATAAAACATCCAATAAAAAGAAAAAAGAAAAAAAGAAAAAACACTGCAGAGACAGCATTACTGGGACAGTTATAAAGAGAAAAGTTGCAAAGAGAGAGCAAGCTAGACACAGGTGGAGACAAAATGAGCCAGAGAACCGGAAGGAGCCAGAAGATTAGAACTGATTGCCAGAGTTAGTTTGCAGCCAAGCAGAGCAATTCAGGAGAAGCTGAGAGAAGGTAGATTGAATCACTCACCATAGGGAGAAGAATTTTGAGCCAGAACAGCTAAGTTGACCAGCTAGCCAGAGTTTACAAAAAGCTAGAAAGGGTGAGCCCATTCATCAGTAAGTTTTGGAGGCTGAAAATATTCTAGGCCTAGATAAGATTATATGGAGGCTAGAAGCTTCCAGGACTAAGTCTAGGATAGCAGACTGAGGCAGTAAACCTCAGACATGGCAATTAGATCAGGCGAAATAAAGTTACTTTTCCAATGAACAATCTGGAAAAGGAAGAGGATTTTGACAACAGCAGGCCTGCATTTTTTCATACAAGCAGTTGGCTGGAGATAGAGCCAGCTACCACACCCAGGCTCTCATCTTCCGAGGCTGTGTCAGTTAGCATGTACCTCACAAGCACATCTCCTTCCTTGCAGTTGACAGCTATTGTCCTGAACTTCTGTCAAAAGAGGTTAAAGAAGCAATAGAAAAAGAGAAACCAATTAATTTTTTAAAAGTCAGGAAAACATTGTTTTGTGCAGACTACTACAAACTTAGCCCAAATCCTCACTCATTCAATTCATAGTAAATTGCCACAAGTATTTAAATTTTCGAGATCTGGTCCAATTTCTAATGCTGTTTTTCTCCCCACCATATTTGGCTCACAAAGACATATATTTTAAAATTACTTACTGGAAGCTTCCTCAGTGGGGCAGGGAATATGTAAGAACACAGCATCCATTATTTTGATCACATGTTTCTTTCAAGTCAGTGTGCAAGTAGTTGAATAAATCCTTTCCTCTTGACCTGCATATTCTTACTGCAAAATGGCAAGTTCAGCCTCAATTGACTTCTCAGAGATTCTGCATTTCTGACACTGAGGTAATGTCAAGACTATTGCTCCAAAGGGCACAGTTTTGTAGCAAAGTTCCAATATATTTGAACATTTTAAATCCCCTAGATACAACTTTAAGGAGAATGGCTATGCCGAGGCAGTGGTATTTTGAACGGCTCCCATCTGAAGAGGTAGGCAGCATCTGCTCTTTGTCAATGGTCATTTACCGAAATAAGCAGAGGCAGGTGGAGAGGGCTGTTGGAGGTGCTTGGGCATCAGGTGCATGTTGAAATAGAGGGAGGTGGTGCCAACTAAAGAGGCAGGATATTACCAGTAACAAACAGTTGTATTTTCTAAGACTAGGCAGTTCTTCTTATGTGGAATATCAGTAGCTTAATGCCTTAAAGAAGTTTCCTAATGGCCAGCTGTCATTGAATCCACATGAACTGCCTGGAAGACGCTACCGACAATGGGTCTATCTACTGGCAGACCGACGTTCGGAGAACAAAAAAGTAAAAATTGTTAGAAATGAATTTTCTTTCTGGTGTTTATCATTTTTACACAATGTTACCCCTATGCCCCCTTATCATGTAGTTCTGTCCCAAGTTACTAAAGCCACAAAAGTTGCCAAGGTTGAAACTGTATCCACTTCCAGCATTGGCTGGAAACTTTCTTTGGTTTGTAGTCCATTAACAATGTAGCAATAAACAGGATTGTAACACAAAAAATAAAAAATAAAAAATAAAATAAACACCGAAAAGAGTATGTACACAGGTACAATTTTAAAGTATGGGAAAACAGTGAAAAACTTATGCAAACACTGAAGAAGAACAACCACATGGGGGAGCAAAATGCATGATTGACAGGAGGACAGCCGAGTATCCTCTCTCCAGCATTGTGCTGTCTTCCCTGGCAGCTGCCTTCAAAACTCCTTAAGGAAAAAGCCTAAGATGTCAATCATATGACCTCGCCCTTTTACTGGCTGGATTTTAACCCCCAACAGCACCATACATACTTTGAGATAACAGACAACGTGATGCATTTCTTTTGGTGGTAAATGTTTATAAAACAGCCTGAGTTCTGCAGTGGTGGGATGGGGAAGTAAGCCATCACCCCGTAAATACACACTAAAGTTCAGAAAAGCTTGCAAGGAAAACCGCCTGTGTGGCAACCTGTAGCACTTGTTGCTTTATGGCTTAGATTGCGCATGTGTGAGGGCCCATAGCCCCTCCCCTTGACCCCGTTCTCCACGCCCAACTCCAGTCAACTACTAAAGCACTGTGCTGTGCGGCTGTCCAGCTGCCTCCAGCTGCAGAGTTTCCTGCCAGTTCATTGCACTCTGACCGCCTCACTAAGCACACGCAGCTATGTCGTCCTGCAGTCGAGTGGCCCTGGTAACTGGAGGGAACAAAGGCATCGGCTTCCAGATCACTCGTGACCTGTGTCGCAAATTCTCCGGGGATGTGGTGCTCACGGCTAGGGATGAGGGACGGGGCCGCACGGCGGTTCAGCAGCTGCAGGCAGAGGGCCTGAGCCCACGCTTCCACCAGCTGGACATCGATGACCCTCAGAGCATTCGCGCGCTGCGCGACTTTCTGATCAAGGAATACGGAGGACTGGACGTGCTGGTCAACAACGCGGGCATCGCCTTCAAGGGTATGCCATGGAATTTGAAGAGGGAAGCTGGTTTGAACAGAGTCTGGTGCCAGGGTGGGCTGTAACTCTCTGGGAGCATTACTACCACCAGCAGCACTATGCTGTGGGACTCTGAAACAGATCCCTTAGGAGAAACAGAACAGGATAGGGGCTACAGGGATGCAGGAAAGCAGAGCCTCAATTCTCCCTGTGTTTACCTAGATAGGTCTAGTCGCCAACTTTTCCAGTTTTCCCTCATACAGATGTTAAGTAGTCAGGATTACAGATACTTGAGTAGAATAATTATCTGATATGGACATAAAAAAAGAGATTGAGAGGAGGAAAGGGACAAGGGGAAAGGTGTTAGATTAAGATCCTGATATACAACCTTCACACAGCCTCCCCCAGTGGTGGTGCCTTCCAAAAACAACAGAACATTGTCAGATGAACAGTGAGGCAGAGCAGTAACTAAACACAGATTGTACTTGGAAGTAGATCTCTAGTGCTCTGTGTTAGGTCTTTACATTTCCACTCAGCTAACTCGGTTCTCTTTCCTCCTGAAAGTTGCTGACACCACACCCTTCCATACTCAAGCAGAGGTGACAATGAAAACCAACTTC